TCTCTAAATATATTATCTGCATGCACATCATGAAAAGTGCTCAATCATCACATCAGAGTCTGTGTTATGGCAGCATCTACAGCCCCATAATAAGTGCTCTGGTCATTCTTTTGATTTAAATGTATCACTTTAAATCTGTTTACCATATTGTTTTTTTATTATTATTTTCACTTATAATTTGGCATTGGTTGGCTATTTGGGTGCACTCAAATGGTTGACTCATTTTGCCACGTTTTTCTTGTAAAGTTTATTTTGAACTAATACTTTTCTTTTGAGCTGCCAGTTCCTGTGAGGCTGCCATGTGGGCCAGGCCAGTGAAGCAAGAGTCCCTGCTGCAAAGAATCTCAGTGGCACTGAGACGTAATTGGACTCTTCCATTTATTTTAGAAGAGTTGTGGGAAAGTTTATGTTTTTATTTTATTTTATTAGGTTTTTGTAGTAATTAAAGTTTGAGAGTTTAGCTACTTAAATAGTTTTCTCTCAATTTGCTGATTTTGTATTGTACAGATTAGTTTGCTCTTTTTGTTGTAGTTTTATTTAGGTAAATGTTTCCTCTTGTGTCAAAACGGCCTGATCAGCCAGTGTTCCCCTTCAGTGTTTCTTTGTCAGGACAATTAATACTACAGTTTCTTGTATTAAGTTTGTTTGTTTTTTTTACCTCATTTTAATTTTTGGGCCCAGATTTATGTTTAGATTCCATCAAGTTTTTGTAAATAAATCTGGTTTCCAGTTTTTCCTCAAAGTTCCCTGTGCTTTTCTGATTATTTTTGGCTAGGTCCCTCACATTCTGATAATGACTGCAAGTAAAGTTCTTCCTGGAACTAATATTCAACACTGTCTGAGAAGGGAGTCAAGTTAAACAGTAACACAAAACTTATGCATCGACTGACATTAATCTGTCGTATGCCTCTGTCAGTTTATTCTCTCTTCGGTGTTAAGAAAAATTAACCAGACACATCAAAGCAAGTGTAGGATACTGACGAATCACACCACAAATTAACAAATAAGTCTATAAAAATGCAGGAGGAATGTGATTTTCCACCTTGTTAGCTCATAGTTTATTACATATTGGCTAATACTTCAGTCATTATTTAAAGGGAGTAAATGAACATGACTTTGCTACCCATTAAACCCACTTTTATTTTAGCAAATTAAAAAAAACCTCAAATTTATAATTCATATTCAAGAAATTCTGCTCTATTTATGCATCATTATATTATAAACACTAGCTTTTAAGGGTTATTGATGCTACACCAATAACATAGTGTGTAGTAGCTTAATGTGATTGGTTTAATTGCATTTAAAAGCAACCAAATTAGGTATTTGTTGGCCATTATTACATGATTATTTACTACAGCTATGAAAGGAACCACCTATGCTGATTATGCACCAGTTTAAATGAAAGATTTAAGGAAAGAAATGATTTATGTAATGCTTGAAGTTGGGGTGTGTTTTACCTGCTGCATCTGTGTACACGCTAATGCCATGTGGATTGAAAGAGCTGAGGTCGAATTCTCCTTTGATTTGCAACTCTACTGGGGTCGGATTTGGGTGCAGCAGGTCCAAAACGTACAATTTTCCTGATTCATTGGAGAAGAATGGTAGATCGAGGTAATCGTGCAGCCCCTATGTAGAAAAAAGTGAATGTGAGAGATCTTTAAAGACAACCTTTGTGCTTTTAGAATGCATTTTCACAGGAAGTTACTAAACATTTTCTTTTTCATTTAGTATGGCTATCTTTATTTATTGTGCTATACGCCCACCCCAGCAGGAGTAAACTCAGTGTGTGTGAAATCTGACCAATAAACTAGATTTCTAGTAATTAAAACAAAACATACTGTGCTTAGAAAGGCAAGTCCATGTCGGAGTATAGTGATGTCCTCTGCTCCATACTCTGAAAACAGGTTTAACATTGAAAGTCTATTATTTGTTCTTTAAGACTATCTTGCTGACAGTTGACCTACTTAATTGGACTTCAGACTTTCTTGTTGCTTTAACATGTTACAAAGAATTTTATTTAAGTTTTTTTTTTAAAGAAAACAAATCTTTTACATTATAATAATAAAATCAGGAGACATTTCTGCATGTCAAATAGCCTACATACCTATATAAGGTAAATAATGGCACCGGAGGGGTTTTATAGGCATTTCTCTGGAGGCGAGGCTGATCCTGCTGCAAAATAAACAACAAAAAAACATAAAACAAAACAAAGCGCACATACACACGACCTATTAAACTAATATCAGCTTCAAATGTTACATTTTAAGTTGAATTTAAAGGAAAAGTATGCACACTTCAAATGTTAGACCGTTCAAGCAACAGCTATCAGTTTTAAGGATAGTGTCTTGTCAGTCCTATTCGTGCCTTTTCAACATTAGTTGGTAAAACTTGAAGTTACCTACTTTATTTTATGAAACCCGTATCCAAAGAACGCAGCTAAAGCCGCAACAGCAGCTGCAAGCAGAGCTTTCTTTAGGGCAGCCATGACTGAATCCCTGAGTGCGTTTACACGCCTTAACCAAAGAGGGCGCCAAAGTGTATTTATTCGACAGGAAAAAAATGTTTTTTATTTTTATATAACAAAACAATAGTGTACAAAGTCTCGTTGAGGTACAGACATTTCAACGTCGGTAGAGAAAAAAAATAGTAACATGGGGCTAAAAACAACAACAGATACATAAACAATAAGGCCAATGAATAAAAAAGAGCAAGATTTAAAACAAAAGAAAAGTAGAAATATTGGCAGTTACTTTTTTGCTAGAAACAGATTTAAAAATTTTCAATGAGGAGTAATACAATTTAAGTTACCAAAAAACTGTTGATAGAGCAAAAAGAACTGAAGGCCACAGGTTGCCATCTTGGTACTCCTCACTACGGAGTCGCCAGAGGCGTAGCCAGAAAATGTTTATTAGGGTGGCCAGGCAATAACCAACACACATTGAGGGGAGGCACCAGAACCTCTCAGTCAATCTACACTCTTCTAACAGGAATATTAATGAGCAAAACATACAAATTTTCTGAATAAAGACAAACTATACTAAACTATACCACAGCCTTTGCTAACAAATAGATGCAGATATTTAAACATCTGTGCTTTCTAGATAAAAGGTATAGTGGATCAAATCCTTTCAGGTTTGAGTTCTGGGGCGAACATCTTTTCCATTGTCTTTACTTACCTACTTTAATCAACAATCATTCTGGATAAAATTGATATTTACAAGTACTAATATCTACATAAAATTAATCATTAATAAGTTTTTATTAAAATAGTTATTTATCTATGATTTCACTGAAGACTCCTAGCAGAGACGCATTTTTTTCTCTTTACCCACAAACACAAAATCTAGTTATGGAAAGAACATGAATTCTGTACTTATCTTTATTGTTAGTATTTTAATGTGCATAATTAACCACAGTGTTTTTGTTGTCAAGTAATTTTTAATGTATGAACATTTTAAATGTTTTAAATATTCCACTGTGTGTATTAGAGGGGGAAAAATGGTAGAGGAGGCCAATGACTGGCTAAGGGTGGCCATGGCCAACCCTGGCCCCCAATCTAGCTCTGCCCCTGGGAGTCGCACCATAAAAATGCCTGTAATGTAATTTAATTATGATAAAAATTGTATTAATACATGTATATTACATGTACATAATCAATTTAGCACTTTTGGCACATCATCAGATTGTGCATGTAATATTCTTAATATCTGACTAAAGTATTATGCTCCTTAAAAAACCTAAAAAAAAAAAAAAATCCCCAGACTGAAAAACACTAAAGATCATCAGACTTTACAATGCCACTAAACTGTAACCTGCCACCACTCTGCTGTACACAAGATACTGTATATACAAGTCACCTTAAATCTTTATTTATATTCCCTTAAAACTGAGGGTAGTCAGTTCGAACCACATCTCCAGTCTTGAGCTTGCTGTGTGAGCTGAACCCGGGGTAAAGAAGTTTTCTGTTTTTACATCCTCTTAAGAACATTTAAGAAACAACTCCTGCAGCATTTCATCATTAAAATCATTGCCTGAAGAAAAAGACACATAATGATTTCAATTTTATTGGCTCAACTTGCATAAAAATCTCCCCTTGCCTATTTTAAATCGCAACACAATGCTTTATGGAACACGGTCCCTATGAGCAGCTTCTCCCCGTAGACTGCTGCCACTGAGGAGCCCATGAGCACATGGCCATCATCTGTATACACCTGGGTGATCACGGGCTGATCCGAGAGGATGTTTTGGATGCGGATGACCTGCAAAACATAATCAGGAATAATAAAGAGTAAACAAGATAACATGTATTGCATCTTTTGGGAAAATAGATGAAATATATATTCCTGTTTTCCTAAAAGAAACAAACCTCTGATCCCGGGGGATCTTTGGGATCAAACAGGAAAAGCTTCTTTGCATTAATGTGACAGCCTAGCCAAAGGTCGCCGGTTTCAGAATCCACTTCAATGTTGTCACAAAGAGAACCCACAGGTACAGACTGGTAACGATAAATCAAATCAAATCATGCTATATATCCACTAAAAACAAGCTAAGTTTGTACATCATCGGAGACACAATTTTATTTCAAAATCCCATAAAAGTGTTTAAGTTGTTCTGAATCCCTTCTACAACTTCCGTGCTGTGATAGATCAACTGTATTACATCAATGGACATCAAGGTGACAGACGTCTTGGAAAATTCTGTACAAAACAACTCAAATGCTCTGACATACCTTTATAACATAATGCATATACTTTACCTGCAAGAAAGCTTGTTTACAAACTGCTGTACTAAATAAATATAAAAACAAAGAATTAGGAAATTATTTGAGACTGTATTCATTATTTTTCTTTTTATTTAATTTATGTTATCCGGTTCTTATACAGGTTCTTAGGCATGGTGTCAGCAAACCTAAAACGTAATTGCTCTGTAAATAAACCATAAACTGTCTTAATAGATAGATAAGGAATACACTTTGTTCCCAGCTTGTATATTTGCAGAGGATAATAAAACTTACCAAGAATTTAGCAAAGACTTTAGGTCTCTGCTAAGCAGTTACCTTTAGAAATGATTCTGTAAGGAATTTGTAACATTAAGCAATAAACAGCAGGAAGTGAAATAATAATTGGTAAAATAAGAGCAAAGTAAAAAAATGGGGGGATTAAAAGTTGTGGTAAACTTTTAAGATCATAGTGAGATGTTAAGTTGATGTTAAGATCCATTTCCCCAAAGTATCAAAAGCTTAAACACAGAATTATCATCTGGTTTATTAAATTCAATCAGAGCTATTTGGTTAATTGCTTGACCATTTTTATAACATTAAGATGAGGACAAAAACCAGTAAACTCTTTGATAGTTAAGATGCAAACCAATCTAAAGGCCATAGATAAGAATTGGCCAGTGCCGTCTTGATCCGCTGGTTCAATACTAAAATTTTGTTTTAACTATTCACTAAGTGAATCAACAGTAAAAAAGAAAAAAGGGTCAAAAAGGGTTTTACTAAGCATAGATCTTAGTTTATTTTTCAGGTTAATGTAAAATGAGACGGATTACATCTCTCAATGTTTTCGTGAATGACCGATCTTCAGCATTGTCTGGCTGTTGGGGGCAGTGCCCCTGGACCGGCTGACTGGGTTCGTAGTTTCCCCTCCATAAAAAGGAGAGCGTGTTTCAAGTCTAGAGGGATCACCCTTCTCACCCTCTTTTAAGGAAGGCATATGCCAGGGTCTTGGAGAAGAGATACTGATTGTCAAACCTTGGCTACAGGAGGAGCAGTTTGTTTGTTTTTTGTCCTGGCCATGGAAAAGTGGACCAGCTCTAAACTGTCTGCATTGTGATTGAAGGTTAATGAGAGTTGGGGTCCCTTTACAATCCATTGGACTCTGGTAAGGCTGCCGTCTTAATGGTCCTGTCGATAATTTTAAGGACAGGATTTCTAAGTGCAGCCAAAGACCGGAGGAGATATTCTTTGGAGACCAGCTGATTTCATTCTTGTTTTTTGCAGATGACGTGATTCTCCTGGCTCCCTCCTGCCAAGACCTACAGCATGGACTGAGGCGGTTCGCGGCAAACTGTGAAGCGCCTGAGATGAGAATAAACGCTTCCAAGTCTGAGGCCAAGCTGCTGGAATTAACTTTCTCTCTAGGGTGGCTGGGCATTATCTTAGACATAGTGTGAGAATCGCTCTCATCTAGGATTGGAGCCAGATGAGGTGGCGCGAATATTTATTTCAGATGCCTCCTGGACGCCTCCCTCAGGACGAGCTTTA